TCTCTCTCTCTCTCTCTCTCTTTCTCCTTCTCTCCCTCTCTATTCTCGCTGTCATTACTGGTAGCATTGATCTGGTAGAGTTGATAAAGTTGTGATTATGTGATGTAGCCGTGTGTTATGCCGCGATAGCTTCATTTTCTCTGAAGGCTTAGGTTCTTGTGGGTTATGGTCAGATCGATGGTTATAGTCTTACTCGCCCTAACTAACCCGTTGTGTTATGAATGGAGTGAAAGTTTTATGGTGGTCCTAATTGTTGTTATAACCTTGGAATCGACGACGAGTTAATTTTACGGTCCCCTGGAATTTTGCCTCTGGACATGTTTTAGCCTAGCTGCTGGCATTCGAGAATCATTCGCAGTGCGTAGCTCTCTGTACCCTACTCTAAATAGCCACCACCTCGTTTGGCTTTTCACCTACCTTGGTTGTTTACATGTACGCGCATGGTGGTTTGCTGCCATAAAACGAGCATACACGCTTGAATACAGATGGGGGCAGCTAAAGTGAATACCTGCAGCGCGCAGAGGCTGATCCAGCAAAGAGCAATTACCTATCTAACAGTACCGCCATCGTTCTTAATACGGCTTATTACTGTAGTTTGCGCGCTACCATGTAAAACCAGGGTAGGTGAAAAAGCCAACACCGACGGTGGTGGCTTACTTGTAGTGTACCGGCACATCAGAGGCGCGGTAACAGAGAGTTAGCGGCACTGCGGCGAATGATTCTCGTAGCAATGCCAGCGAGGCGCTCAGGCTACAATCCCAATATGCAGATAACATAACGACGTCAGACAGATGAAGGTTTGATTAGGGGAAGATAGCACATTATGATGTCTGTCCAGACATGGGACGCCGTAAAAGTTTAACTCGTCGTCGATTCCATACGCTTTTATCACTACACAACCATCAATTTAGAGACCAGCCAATAAAAATCGTTTCAAACCGTCCATTCATTATCAATCCACAAAAGCGGAACGTGTAAGTTAAGCTGCCTCGCTGAGTAAGACCTGCTTGAATAAAATCACATTCGTTGCTGACCATAAACCCACGCAGAGACCTGAAGGCATCTTCACGAGAAAATGAGGCTATCGCGCTGGAAGCCACCACTAACCGCATAATCACAGACCCCAGAGGTCTCTATCACACTAATGCAATGCAAACTTACTTATCAGGCTCTACCACGGGAGTCAATCGGCTACCCGAGTAATGACAGCGGATCAGAGCATGACAGGGAGGCTGGAACGAGAAGGAGAAACGAGAGCAGAGTAGAGCGAAGCATGCGAAATAGTGGCTTCCTGCCGGCGTAATGTGTCATTAAATGATGCTTGAGGTCTGGAGAGTTAGAGTATTATCATGAGAATCTATGCGGTAAGGTGATAACTGCCTCTTCATTTGAAGAGAGCAGAGATGGCCATTAGATCTTATTGCAAAATACGATTGCTCTCAGGAGGAGGGAGAGAAGAGATATGCGCATATAGCGCAGAGGCGACAGGGCGGCGGAGCGGCGGATCAGAGGAGAGAGAGAGAGAGGGGGAGCGGAGAGAGGAGCACGAGGAGAGAGGAGAACGACGAGAGAGAGAAAGAGAGAGCGGGAGGGGAGAGAGAGAAGGGGAGAGGATGAGGCACCGGAGAGGCCCCGACAGGATGGAGAGCGGAGAGGACGAGACGCGCCCCGAGAGGAGACGCGAGAGGGAAGAGGGAGGGGGGAGAGAAAGAAGCGAGGAGGAGAAAGAGGAGCCGAGAAAGATTAAAGAGAAAGGAGCAGAAGGAGCTAAGAGAAGAGAGAGAAGAGAGAGAGATGAGAGAGCGGGCCGTGGAATGTGCGAACAAATATAAAGAAACTGGAAATTAAGAACTTGTAATGAGGGGTGTGGAGCGTATTAGGCGCGGTCTGTGGGATGCGGAGATAGCTCGTTTTGATACTTTGTTCGGGCCGTCGCGGCGTGGCGAGTACCCATACTCTATATCTCCGCTACTATACACGGGTGTATAAACATTTAGATCCCCCGCTGCCGAACTCGAGTACCAGAAGCGTGTAGAGACCCAAACCTGACAATGATGATCACATATTGTCAACTCGTGGCTTGCTAATTTACATCTTCACTCGTGCATCTGGGAGGCGAGCTTCAGTTACAGATTCAACAACCTCGGCCGCTGGTCAT